TTCACACCCACCATGAAAACTATGATCGAACAAACTTTGTTTTTTTTTGGTCACAACTAATTGGTCACGCAGATGTCTACCTCTCAGAATAGAAGCCCATGACGTTCTATTTTGGTTTCGTATATCGCAGCTTTTCTAGTGCGAAAATGCCCTACCCATGTAGCGCGTTTTTCAAAAATTTTCGCTCAGAAGTGGGTGTGGGTCTGCTTCTTTCCTTTTTACACCCACACCCACACCCACATCAGCTCAAAATTGCTCTGTGATAGATATTATTTTATTGAAATTTGGGTCTTTCTCTTACATCATATAATTTATTGAAAAAAGCCCTTTTAGGTTACATTTTCAAAGCATCACCATCATAACTAAAAAGTTAAGCAGTATGAATTCCATTGCTAACAAGCATCTAATCGCTCATAATCTGCAAGGACACTATTAAACCAATCACCATCGAAAGCTCGATTCCATGTTTTTTTACACCAAGTTTCGTTTCTTCGTAATATTTCAGCATATATATAATACTTATCGGGAACGCGACCGATTGGGAAGCACGAAAACAATATATCATTTATTCGTCCATCGCCATCTAAATCCATTGGTGTACAACAATTCATGACAATATCAGAAGTGAAGGAAAGTGAGCATGGAAATCGAGGCGTTTTTTCTATCAGTCCTCCGTTCACATATTGAGCCACGGCAATGACGACAAGCAGAAGTATAATCTTAAACATGACAGTTTACCACTTTAAACACCGATTCGCAATGAAATCTGAAGTGAAAAAAAAGTTCATATGAAAGCACCACATGCTCAGTATAAAAAATTTTTAATGCACAACACATTTTTGGGTGTAGATGTGATTGAAGCGAACATACAATCACATGCCTCACACCCAATGCTCATGATTGCCATTTTACCGTTCTATTATTTTTTTGTGTATAGAAAAAATGAATGTTTGGGTTTTCATTCGTATTTATATGATTAATTTTATGAGAACTACTACACATGGTTTATATTCTTATATTTTCAATCCTAAGTGCGAATTCCGATGTGATTCTTCTTTTACTGCTTATAACGCAAAGGTGGCTCACAGCTGGTACATGTTCGCAATGCATTGGCGATTGTGTCGCAATCTTAAGAGTGAGGGTGTGAGTTACGAATAGAGCTGCAAAGACTCGTTTCGATCCAGTTAAGGATCTCTTCTAGTTGCTTCTTCAAATTTGCATAAATGAATTTTTTTTCTGAATTAGAGGAAAAATATTCTCCGAATATAAAGAAAAATATCTATCATAGGCTGTAGGTGTGGATGGGATTCTGGGCGGGTGTCAAAATGTGAGTGTGAGCGTGAATATGATTTTTAGCAATTAGGTTTTTGAACATCTGCACCGACACCCCACAAAATGATAGCAACAGAAAGTATTTATCGAAAATATGGCCGAATTTCTGAAGTACAGTATGAATACGACAAAGATAGTTTTGGAGAAAGTAAACATTATCGTATAAACTGAGGGTGTGGGTGTAGGAATGAGTGAAGGGAATACTCACACCCACACTCACCCACACCCACACCCACACCCCATACCCACACCCCACATCCTCGATCAATGAAAGGTCGGATCAAAAATCCGATCTCGGATTCGGGCTCCTGGACTCTGAAAACCTATTGTAAAGTTTCATCAGAGTGGTCGAAAACCCGATGAATAAAAAGCTCGTTTCTGATTGGCTTGAACAGACAAACTTTATGCGTTTTTTAATCGCCGTATAACCCTTTCTTTCAGAAAAGGGAATAAAATGCGTTTGTTTGCTTGATTGCTTGGAATCAAAAAAACATACATGAGAGGTTAGCTTATTTTCAGACTTTTCGGTCTTTTGATGGCACTTTGCTATAGGTTATCGATGACGAAAATTCCAAATCTGAGGTCAGATTTTCAACCCAGCCTTCTCATTGGTCAGGAAGCCAACCAATGACAAACCAACTTTTTTATTTTAAGATTTTTCGGAGTTCTGTTGAAACTTTGCTGTAGGTTATCGATGGGCAGGATTCCAAATCTGAGGTCAGATTTCCAACCCAGCATTCCCATTGGCCAGAAAGTCAACCAATGAAAAAATCAACTTTTTTATTTTAAGGCTTTTCGAGGTTCTCATGAAACTCTGCTATAGATTATCGATGGTTAGAATTCCGAATCTGAGTTCAGATTTCATATGAAACTATTTTTTGTTGGCGGGAAAGGAGATTAAGAAAAATTGGATCGTCTGTTTTAAGACTTGTATGGTTTAGATGAAACTTTGATAGAGATTGTCGAGGTCTGCCCATCTAAATCTGAACTTGATTTTTCGATCTAACGTTTTCTTAGTCAGAAAATGAATCAATGAAAGACGAGCCTTTTGTAGCTTAAGGCTTGTATATTTTCTGTTAAAATTTTCCTGAATGTTATAGAGATGGTATCTGGGAAACGAAGGTTTGATTGGAAAATATTTTTGTTTCGAGTGTTCTCTCAACTGAAGGGTGGGTCGCGGAAGATAAAGAGCATTGGTACACGTGTATGAATATTTATGAACAAGTTAGTGTCTTTAATTGATCCTAAACTGTGATATGTCATGTTCGGTGCGCAATCGTGAGTAGCGCCGGAAGGAGTGTCAGCGAGCGACTAGGTGCTGCTCTCTAAAATCCGCTGAAAAAGTCCTGAAGGCTCCTAGGGATCATACAAAAACTGCTAACGATCTAGGTTCAAACGCTTACGTAAGTCATCGATGTCGTAAAATGATAAATTTTTTTCAGGATGTGCGTATATTTTTTTTACCTGTTGTACACCTAAATAATATAGGCGACCGAAAACATCAGTCAGAGAAAGGAAATTCCCTCTATAGGAAGTAGATATCAATACTATAGAATGAGCTTTTTAATTCATATTTGTCTTTGCACTTTTACATTGATATGCCGACATGATAGGGCAATCATTCAAATGAACAGCCTAATCTCATGAACACTTTTACTTGTATGAGGCTTCGAGTGACGCATTCCGATTGCAGATCTTATGGAAATTTATTTATCTGAAGCTAGGACTTGCCGAAAAGTCGTTTGTTACTAGCGGATGTTTTACAACAGTGATAAAACTTGATGTGCCAGAGATCACGAGAGCGGTCAAGAGAATTTTCATAGGTGCATGCTGAGCCTATTTGCTAGTTTCTCAGATTTGCTTTCTCGGCGGCCCAGTTATTTATTAACTATGATCGTTTTTCAGACTTCTTTGGGAAGTTGGAAAATAAGAAAGTGATAGTGAGGACGTTGTCGTGGATTGTAATTGTGAGTATTGTTCTGTTAGTGTGATTTTTTCTGAATATTTCAAACGCGTCTTCGTTTGTAGGTATCGTTTTAACTGAATAAGTTCAGGAGAATAAGAATCATGAGAACATGTACATTATCCTGTGCACGCATACAGATGCGGGCATTAACATTCACAGGCATTCCTAGCTTTTTTAAACAGTGGATAGGAGCATCTTCAATAACTAAGGCATGATTTACTATGAAAAGCTTGGCTAAGAGTTCAGTCGAGGGTCAAGCGAATCACGCAGACGAGTGTTACTTGTTATTAATTAATTATTAATCTAGTTCATAATAATAAAACTGATCTCAAATTCGGATTCCCCAACCCGGATTACCGTTAGGTCAAACTTTCTCAAACATGAATATTACTATTTATTAACTAATTATTAAGCTAATTAATAATAATAAAACTGACCTTTGATTTGGATTCTCCAACCTCGATTACCTTTCGATCAAACTTTATAAAAAAAATCATTTTTTCGTAGAAAACCTTTGTCTAGTTAAAAAAATCAACCTCGAAAAAATTTCAAAAAACTAATGACAGATTCTGATTCCTCGACCCCAGAAACCTTTAGTCAAACTTTGCCTCATAACCATCGATGAGTTTTCATTGGTTTATTTCATCCTAATTTCTGATTAGCTTGGACAAACAAACTTTATGCATTTCAAGCCCATGATTTAAACGTTGTATAACCCTTTCTTTCAGAAAAGGGAATAATTCTATCACAGAACGCTTTCAGGCATTCAATGTAATAATGGTGCTTAGATGAAGTCGGATTTCTCAAAGAGATCAATGTCATCGTCTGTAGACTGCTTTCCTTTTGATTATTCGAAGCTAAATGGAGACCAAAAATTAGAGTGTCAATTCAATTAAATATCCTATGTTATGTTCAAAATACACAAATGACAATAATTAATCTATATAGATAAATCGACTATGATGTTGGGATTTCTTCCTTGTATAAATTTATGTCAATTAAATATAGAACTCTCTAAACGATAAGGTCCATAAAATAAAATAAATGTTGAAATGAAAATGAGAAACAGTTTTTAAATGGACACATATGTATGAATTATCGTGGATATGCAAGGTAATAATCAAAAGCATATCGTTCCTTGAACAGATGTTGAGCCTCTTCGACACAAACTCCATTGCCGTCAAATATGAGTGTGATGAGTGTCTGTATTAAAATATAAAGTTGCATATGCAGCGGATGAGAAGAAAAATTGTCCCACGGTGTTCTTTTGTAACACTCGCGCTAGATATTCTGCCCCATCAACACTGATATTGTTGGCTCCCAAATTAAGTTCCGTAAGTGTCTATATAGGAATGTATTGGTAAATGTACAATCGAAGAGAGGAAAAGTTGTTTCACCGTGTTACACAATAATGCTTTAGCTATATATTCTGATCCTTCATTGCCGATGCAATTGTTGGCAAGATCGAGCGTGGTAAGTGTCTATTTTGAAACATAATGGTGAATATGCATTCGATCAAAAGAAACCTAATATCACCTTGTTATCTTGCAGTATTTGAGCTAGATACTGTGCCCCTTTATCGCCTATATGATTGAGCTCAAGTCTGAGTATCTTGAGTGTCTATATTTAAACACAATGATAAATATACAGTTGATGAAAAGAAAAATTGTTTGACCTTATTATTCTGTAATGCTTGAGCCAGATATTGTGCTCCTTCAGTAAGAATATTATTTCCTGTGAGATCGAGTGTGGTGAGTGTCTATATTGGAATATAATCGTAAAATTATAGTCAATAAGAACAAAACTTGTCTGACTGTGTTATTTTTTAATGCTTGAAATAGATGTTGCGCTCCTTGAGCTGTCATGTCGTTTAACCCGAGGTTGAGTTTTGTAAGTGACTTTAATAAAATATAATCATGAAATTATAGTCAATTGGAAGAAAAGTTGTCTGACCGTGTTATTCTGTAATCCTCGAGCTAAATGGTGGATTCC